GTGCATTGGTGAAGGAAGCTCTATGGGGAGTACACCTGAGGGGGTGAGGAGAAGCAAATATTGTTTAAAAATGAACAGTGATGTAAAAAAATAAATAATTTATTAAAAAAAAATAAAAATAAAAAGTTCTCATTCATGGAAAAAAAAAATATATTTCACCAGAGAAAGGACCTGGAATCATACCATCTCTGATGTCTTTTCCCTCACCTTCTATAGTGTCCTCTGAGGTACTGATGTGAAAGTGTAGGGTTGTAAGCATAGTTTGCATAACTGAGGAATACAATTGAACATTTTCATTTTGCAGATGAGTAAACAGAGGCAAGCCTATAAAGTGTGAGCACTAACTCCTCAGGTCATTTTATTATTTGAAGGTTACATACCAAGTGGAATGGAATCAGGCTTTCTGCTTTAAGGTCTACTACTTGATAAGACCCACTATCATACTAGTGGGTTGAAAAGAAAGAAAAACCCTCTGAGAGGTCAGGGAAAGAAAGTTTAATGAGAATGGAGACAAGTAAGTGTGGAGATGTTCAAGATGGCTACTGTAATCAATAGCAGCAAAAGGAGAAGTTATTAAGGGCTGAGAATGATAATCTGACAGTACACAATTATCTGGTTGTTTGAGATTCAGAGCAGTATGTGGGCAACGTTTGATTTCACACATACACACACAAAATATTTCAGAAACGATCAGCAAAAGGGTAAGGATGCTAACTTTACTAATTATTGCAACTAATTTTATATTACCTTTTCATGCTTGAATTGAAAGTTTGCCTTAATCACAGCAAATCAACAGAAGTTTTTATTCTATTGTATTAAGATGGTTTAACTAAAGAATTAAACACAAAGCAAAAAATGCACATAATAGAAGCCTTTTGGAAGAAGCTCAGTAAAGACAGGTTTAATGTACATTTGATTTTATAGAATATCCAGAACCCAGAATTCACCTGAGAATAAAAAACAGAAAAACATGTAGTAATGAGGCACACATGAAAGTAAAAGAGGCACACATGAAAGTAAAAGAAAATGTGAACATCTCTATGGGGAACAATAAAATTAAATGACGCTGTTACTATTTGCTATTGTTAGACAAAAGTTATCATCTAAGTGACTCAACAAATTATATTTGGGCCTTACTGATTATGCTTTAATAAGAAGGAATTAAACCATAATCTTACAACAGTCTTAATAATTACTTAATTCCTTTTTGCTATTTCTGTCAAGTATTAGGAGTGTTATCTGGTAGTGACATCTAACATTTTCAACTGAACCTTAGTTAAGTGTCTCACACCAATAGGGATATTCCTGTTCTCCTTTAAATGGCTCTATCATCTATAAACATGGGCAGATTAATTTTCTAATCAAAACATTCTGGGAAACTATTAAGCATGACATTAAACCGTGTTATACTAATTACATTCCCAATGAAGAATTTCTATCTGAATTTACAGCATAAGGCTCTGGAGAAAACTTATCAGAGCACAAATTGCTTAAATGTGCTTTAAGAAGTAACACATATCCATATAATAATTTTGCTTTTTATACCTACTTTAAATCAACTCTGTTCTTCACAGTAATTCATTATGGCAGCAAGATCTTCTTGACCTGGTTAAATCATGTTTTAAAAGATGTTAAAGCTTGCGTAAGTGTGTAATATGGCAAAGTACTTATTTTTATCTCAAACATCTGTCTACATTAATATTTGTTTCTTACTGGAATACAACACTCCTTGAAGAAAAAGAACCAAATACATTGTGGTAAAATAACAAGGGGTTGTGGGGCAGCAATTAGCAGAGGTCAGAAAACATTTTATAAAGGTCCAGGTAGCAAACATTTTAGGTTTTGTAGACCATAGAGTTTCTCCCAACTACTCTACAATTGCAGAGGAAAAGCAAGCTATGGCAATATGTAAAAGAATGGGCATAGGTATATTCCAATAATGCTTTCTCTACAAAAAATACACAGTAGATAAAAAGCACAAGGAAATACACTTCATACCCACTAGCATGGGTAGATGTAGGACAGTTAAATAATGTACTTTTTTTTTTTTTTTTTTTTTGGCTATTGCAGAGTTCAAGAGATATCTTTGTGCATGTATCTCCAGGGAAACATCTAGACAAGGCATCACTGGTCATAAGTTCATGTACTTTCACCTTTACTGGGTACTGCCAAGTTGTGCAAAGTGGCTGTGCCAGTTTTGCATCCCCATTATATCTGTAGCAACTGCCACATCTCTGCATCTTGGCAAAAACTCAGTGATATGGGACTTTGCAATATTTGCCAATAGCATGTGGGCAAAAAATGATATCATATAAAATTGTCATTTAAAAATTAATTGGAGATCATCAATCCTATCCTAAAGCTTTCTACAGTCTTCCTTCTCTTATAGGCATTAAGAATGAAACCCTACAATGACTGTCTTTTAATTGTCTGGATGTTGAGATTGATCAGAAATGATAAAAAAAAGGAAACATTCCTGGATTCTAAGCTTTTCCAGGTCTACCTTTGTCTTGTTAAACTTTATCCCAGCCCTATGCATTAAACCCAGACCAAAGTAGTATAAAATTGTTGATTTAGTGGGGGGGTTTCATCTCTAGCTTCTTGGAGAGAGGATGTGGGGCAGAGCATGCTGTTGTGAAGTTTTAATAAACACATATAAATTGTATTATAAAAAAAGTAAAACTTATACAAAGGCGCTATTTTTACTAGTGTGTTGCAGTGACAAAGAATTACTATGAGAAATATTTCAAATGCTCTATGTAAAGTTTGAAAATAAATGATAATAGCCCCTGTTTGTATTTAACACCTCCTAGATGCCAAGGACATAAGTTAAAAAAAGAGCAGCCTTTCATGTTAGGAGACTAGTGTGACACTTAGAGCTTGGTATCAATATTTTTAGAAGCTAGCTAACACTCATAGGTAGACCATGTTATTTATGTTTATGGCCATAAACAATCTCACAGAACAACAATATCAGGTAAGGCCACACAATGATTATAATAATGAAGTGACACAAGACCACTTCTAATTTTGCCTAAGCATGGACACAAAGGTCAGTGTACAAATCACAAAATACCAATACCCTTTTCTCTTGAGTGCTATGTCACAACTACTTCTGCTTTATTAGTTACAGTTTTAGTCTCACTCTGTAGTCTGCCATCCTTCTAGATAAGAGTTAGATACTCAATCCTTGAGTACTCCCAATACCTGAAAGTCCCCAAATTCAGAGCTACTCTTCCCACTCTCTCAGAAGTCTTCCTCAATCACAAAACCAAAGTCCAGATACTTCATGTCCTTCCTATATCCTATGACTGAGAGACCCCATAGTCTCACTTTCTAAGAGTAATAAACTCTACTTGTTTAGCTAGGTGTTCCTCCTGGAATCTTTGGTAGGAGGGGCTTTGATAGACATTGCTAAAAGCTTTGCATATGGTAGATTGGCTAAGACAATACCTCTGTTTGGTAGGTATTATCATTCTCTTTTTATGGATTGGGAGGCAAAAAAAAAAAGTTAATCATCTTCAACATCACCTACCTAGTAAATGACAGGAATAAAATTGCATCTGGGTCTAACGGTCATTGAGACACAAGGAATTACTGAAGTCCTCCTGCCCTTGCTGTTCTCCTGGACTTTCCACTAAAGATTAGGGCCTCTTTGAGGATAGAGACAGACATAATAGTCTAATACAGTAAAAAGAAACACATACACACACAAAAGGCCAGAGCTCGAAGATTTGCTCCCAACTAAAGCCATTTCCTGAGCTACTGTGCTAATCTTCCCAAAGTTCCTAGAGTTGTTTCTTGTATTCAAGTCAGTACTACAGTTTATTGGAGTCTAGGCCCACACCACTTCCATAGTTAGAAGATGGCTAACTTAATTGTTCAAAGGAAAAGATGACTTAAAGGAGAAAAGAAAGCACATCCATGTGTGAGAAAACTGTTTTAGCTGTTGTAGCTTGTTGGGTATACACAACAAAGTTTTTTGCATAGTGTTAGTTCAAGGCCCTTTATTGTCAGCTCTTGGTTTTTCAAATCTATGTTTTTGACCCCTCTTGAAATTGTTCCTGCCTTTTATTGAAAATCCCACCATTCTTCTCTATCCAGTGTTAATCTTTGTACCCTTCCTCTCACCATCCCTGGTATTCTCCTTCAGAGTTAACATTTATGTTAATTTGTTATCTGTGAGCTCCTTAAGATGTAGCCTAGGGGGCCCTCTCCTGTCTCACCTGCTGCTCCCCTCAGCAGTGTATTTCGTCAGTCTGCCTGTTCTGTTTCCCGCTCTGTCTCTGGTGACTCTTCTCTCCCTCCCGCACATCTGGCCTATACCTGGGTCCTTGTATGCATGAATAAATAAATCTTAAAAAAAAAAAAAAAGTAGCCTAGTGTTGATTTTTGGTGGACCCTCCTGCTACCCCAAAGTGGGCACTCAGCACTTAACACTGGGCAGGTGCATTACAGGTATGTCAAGAAAGCAGTCTTTTGGAGCCTAGTAGCCTCCGTGGTTCTGTCCTGCCTACTACCCCTTCAAACATAGACCAGAGAACAATTTTTCCAGCAGACACGTCCTGCCCCCCCCACCGAGATCAACGCTGTTTACATGACGGTCCAGAGGGGCTCTCGCTGATTTCCAACTCAGCAGGAACCAGTTCTCCAAAACCCAGACTAGTGACTTCCTGATCAGCTTTCAGCTCCTCCCCAACACCCGACCCCACCCACGGCCCTCAGGGTCCGGGCGGGCGGTGGAAAGAACGCGCGGCCCCGCCAGTCGGGTTCCGGGGAATCCGGAAGAGGCGGCTTCCGGGCGCGTCACTGACTAGGCGGCTCCGGATTGGCTGGTCCCCGGCGACGGCGGTGGCGGGAGTTTTCGGATGTCTCAGCCGGGGCCGGCCGCAGCGGTTGGGTTGAGCCCGGCTGGCAGCAGCAGGAAGGCGGGTCTGCCCGGTACCCCCGCGCTCCCGGAGCGATCGCCTTGTTTTCGCCTCCCGGAACCCGACGGCAGGATGGATCGGCCCCGGCCGCGGCCGCATCGCCCGGCGCTGGGCTCCTCCTCCGCCTCTCTCCGCACCTGCCGGGACGGCAGGATGCCCCGCAGGAAGGGCCCCCCGCACCCCCCGCCGCCCGGCGGCCCCGAGGAGCCTGGAGAGAAACGCGCCAAGTTTGTAAGTTTTGCCTGGAGCCGGGTGGGGCTGCTTTGGCCTGTGCCGCCTTCTGAGGCTCTGGCCGGCGGGTCCTTCTATTTCATTAACCTCTGACTTGGCTGACAGCCCGGGGTGGATCCACAGGACCCGGGGGTTAAATTTTGCTCTAGATGTACTGAGCTGCCAATCTCTTCATAGATTTACGAGGACAGGATCCATTTCTATGGTGATCTTTTCCCAAATTCACTGCCCTTGTGTTGCCCAAATTTCTAAAGGGTGACTTAAAAAGCGGTTCAAATGTCTATGTATTGACGTCAGCGAGGTGAACTCTGCATTTTTTAAGTCGCTCTTCTCCCCTCCCTCTTGTTTCCGAGGGTATGGGACTTTTCAGAGTGAATTTTAGATGATAGTATTTCGTTTTCTGCTTACTATTTTAATGCAGAAATTTTTTAAGAGATAACATTTTGTGTAGATGTAATCAACTCGTTTTAAAATTGGGCGGGCATGTAGTCACTGCTAAGGAATGTTTTGTTTAAATTGGAATGGAGTTTAAGTTATTTGAAACTGGCTAGCTATTCTGGATACTTCATTTATTCACTTTAACACTTAAGGGAAGTGTCATGATTAGGGCCTGGTGAATCTTTTTTGATGTCCACTGGAAAGAAGAGACAGTGATGATTGTTTTGTAGTGTGTGTAAATAAAGCACATATAAGGTTGATCGATTGGGGGTGAGTCCAACACAAATGAAAATTTAATACTCACCCCAACATTTTTACCTAAGAGTATAACAACAGTTTCATAGTAAGCACTGTTTTCAGTGAACAAATAAAAACTGTTAGGAACTTATGTCAGAATACATAAAGAGACTAAAGATTTGTGGATGAGGAGTGAATTGCTAATTCTAACATTTAAAGGTGGTAGGTGAATTAAACTAAGAGCAGAACTGAAAATGAAGGACGAAATGGCTTAATTATACTAAATTATCAAGGTGGTCATACGAATGATGAGATTTTTGCATGAAGATCAAATAGAGGTTGTTGGTTGTTATCTTGACAGAGTTGAAGAATAGATAGGATAGGGGCAAATTGCCAAGGAAAGATTCTACCCCAACATGAAAAGACTCCACTGACTTTTTTTTTAAGATTTATTTTATTTATTTATGCCTACAAGAACTGGGGTACAGGCCAGAGTTGTAGAGGTGAGAGGATTTGCCAGAGACAGAGTGGGGTGCCGAACAGGCAGATCTACTGAAATACACTGCTAAGGGGAGCAGTTGGCGAGACAGGAGAGGTCTGCTGCACCATGTGGGTAGCTCCCTGGCTGGCCGGGGATCGCACTTGTGCTGCAGAGGCTGCGGATTGCTTCACAGTGCGGTGCTTAACCCCTTGCACCACCAGGGAGGCCCTGAACTAGGACTCTTAAAAGAGAACCTGGAGTTCTACGGTTAGCTCTAACTCTGTTCCTGGTTCAAGACTCAGTGTTCTAATCTCAAGACTTCCTTCTGAGAAATTCTGTTCTCAGGATGCTCTTCATAGTCTACATCTCACTGCGTTCAGTCCCATTTCTCTTCGTTATGGGTTAGAGGGTGATCTTTGGAGACCATCCCTTGCTCATGAGATCTCAGCAATGCCTCAAAAAGAGATTGTTCTATAGTTCAGTCTGCCGTACTGCTGGATGTTAAGTTGGTTCCTGGCTTTCTCTTGATTTGGGATGAAGAAAGGTTAGCCTAAACCTTTTCAACCACCAATTTGTTAGGTCACCTAGTTGCCTGGGATAGCTGCTTTTGACTGAAACAAGTAATGTTGGCTGGTGATGTGATGGGACTGGTAGTAATATAGTTATTTGGTGTTTTGTACAGTCTACAAAGCTATAAGCTGGTAGTGGAACTGAGGGATAAACTGACCACTTGCTCTTGTCTTAGCTTAATAAGGGAGGAGTTCTGGTACCCACTGAAATCCTGTAGTACTTTAAGCCCCGATAAAGCATACTAATCCTTGTTTTCTACTGATTTTGTAGTGTGAGTCTCAAGCTAATTTTGATTGTATATAAAAGCTTGTAATATACAGCCTCTTTCTATAGACATGTAGTATAAATTAGTATATTGTAAATGTATGATCGTTTGACTGCACAGTGACTCAACTGCTTTTGTGTTATTTATGAACTAAACAACTTTGTTTCACTAGAAAATATAACAAGCTGTGAATATTGACATTCTGGGGTTAGTTACTGGGGACCGAGTGCAATCAGAGGAGGCTGGAATGATAAAGCGGGTACCTGGATAAGACTTCCTGAGGGTAGATTGAATCCAGTAGTATTGTTAAAGATGGTACCTGCCCTAGGTCACACCTTCAGCACCTGGACCTGATTCCTGTTTCCCTCCTAGAAGAAAACCAAAATCAAGTCAAACAAAACACAAAGCCACAGAGTTGCCCTATTTCAGTGATACCAAACACTTAATTCCTAATTCCCACTAACCTTAGAAACACAGTACATACATCAGGTTCAGAGTAACAGCAGGACATGTAGCTTTTGGAGAAGTCTCCATCTCTAGGATGCGGGCCAGTCTTTTCAAAGGATGAAAGTAACTACGATGATCCAAGTTGGCAGATTAGCTCTTCTTTTTAATTAGTTAGGACTGTCCTTTAAAAGTACTCACAGACTTTAGTGTAAATCTTGCATCTAATCCAAATAATCTTATTGTTTCCATTTGAACGGATCGTTAATTATTGTCTGGTTATGTCATTCTAATGTCCTTAATTTTGACTGTGAGAGACTTTTCACCTTGTTCAGTATTCTCTGTATGTTGACTGTGGGCATCGTTAGTAATAACAGTTCACCTTAATGAATGAGCTAAGCACTGTTTTAGATGTTTTGTAAATGTCAACCCCTTTAATCCTTATAGCAAGGCCATGGGTGGGTAGTATTATTAGCCTTGCTTGCTAGATGGGAAAACTGAAGTCCAGAGGTTAACATTGCCTTAGGTCAAACTGCTGCCTGTTGGCGAGGCAGGCATTTGAAGTGGAGGCAATCTGTCACCAAGTGTGCCTTTCCTTAGCACTCTCCTGTATTGCTCTCCCATGCTATTGGGAGTGTAAATCAATATTGTTTCTTTTCTCAGGTGCCATTAACAATAGTTAGTAATGTTTTTAATGGATATAAATTAGTGATTTCCTGATTATAGGTGGATGGTGAGATGGGAAGAGGTATTAGGTTGGAGAACTGCTTATTGTATTGGGAACTAGAATTGAAATCTGAGTGGGCTTGATGAGATTCATGCACATTTACCTAATAGCTTTGGGTTTATCTTGGAGGCAGGTGTAGTAGATGAATAATGATCCCCCAAAGATATTCATCTTTTAATCCCTGGAACCTCTAAATATTATTTTAGATGGCAAAAAGGACAGTGCAGGCAAGTGTGATTAAATTAAAACTAAAAGTCATAATAGGGAGATTATTCTGGATTATCATGTTGGACCCTAATACAAACACATGTATCCTTTTAAGAGGGAAATGGAGGGAGACTTGACTACAGAAGAGAACAGGGTGACTGCAAGGCAGAGATGAGTGATAATAGTTACAAACCAAAGAATGCTGCAGCTGTTGGAAGTGGGATGATGCTTGGAACCCTTCTCCTCTCGAGCTTCTGGAGGGAAAACAGGCTTACTGGCACCTTTATTTCCATCTAGTGAAACTGATTTCATTCTTCTGGATTCCAGAACTGAGAGAATACATTTCTGTTGCTTAAGCTCCAGGTTTGTGGTAATTTGTTATGGCAGCCATAGAAAATTAACTCAGCCGGTATAGAATGAGGTTGAGTACAGTGAAAGGTTTGGTTTAGCAGTATAAAAATCTGTTTTAGGAGGACCATCAGATTCATTTAAATTTCTTCCTGTGGTATCATTTTATTTTGGAAGGTCTGTGGTCTGGGAGACAAACATGCTTTGGTTCTCTGGAATAACGACTAGAACCTTGTTTCATCTTGGTCTGTTGTATCTTTTCAATAATTGCTAGAAACTGAGAAAAGGTGGAGGCAATTTCTGTATGCACTTCTTTTAGTTTATTTTTTCATCGAATCTGCAGCTAAAGTGGAGCTTTCAGTTGTTCTCAAGTTAAACTGTTAAGAAATACAGAAAGTCAGGTTCTCCGCTGGGATGTTTTGATCTGTTAACAGGCCCTGAAGTCTATGGACTGTTGAAGAGAATGGGTGATGCAAAACCCCCAGTAGAAAACAGCACACATATTACTCATACTTTTGGCAGTTAGTCTGATCTCTATCTTTAGCTCTTAAATTTAGTTTATGTAATGAGGTTTTTTTTTTTAACGACTGAAAATTCTTTGACACTCCTTTCCAGGAAACAAATTCCATGATCCATCCCCTTGACTCATGGTAATATTGAGACTGCTTCAATCCATACAACATTCAAGTCCACACAGCTTCCTTTTGATTCTTTGAACATTTGCTCTACAGAAGCTGACTCTTGGAATCTAGCTGCTATGCTGTAAATACCCTACTTGTCACCTAGAAAGATCTTGTGTAGGCCAACAGTTTAGTTAAGCCCAGTTTTTGTGCCTGTTATGGTAGTCTGATAATTCCAACCCTCAGCTATTGGAGCACCCCACCCATTCCCAGCTTCCCAGCTGCGGTCCTAGATATTATGGAGCAGCTGTGAAGATATCACAAGACAAACCATCCAGCTCTGCCTTGATTTTCTTGACCCACAGAATCTATAAACATAATAAATTTATGTTACTTAAAGGAATCAGTGCTAGTTGAAGGCTATAGCACCTGAGTTTTATTCATGTCAAAATCCCACCCAACTCATCAGACATTGAAATCTTTGTATGAAGGCATCATCACCTTATTTTTGCCCACTCTCCTAAATAAATTGCTCTGAATCAACCCAGACTTTCCTTTCCATTCTTTCTAACAGAGTAGATGTTTTTGTTTGTTTGTTAATATGTGATTTATGAAAAGAAGTAAAATATAGCAAGTGGCTTTTTGGGAGTACATTTACCTGCT